TGGTTAAAAATGTTTTTTGAATACACAGTATGCCAAATGTGATAAATATGATATATATTTAAAATATAGATTCTTTTATATATATATCATTCCAAACTAAAAAGGACCAAATGTTTATTGGAGATTGGTTTTATGTGTCTAAAATGCCTGCTGAATAATGGGATCTAGTAAAAAAAAAGTCAATTCCACGTTCTAACAGAAACTTTTCATATTTGTCTTTGGGTGATTAAATTCACCATTTTATGAAACTAAAGTAGTTTAATGACTGCATTAAGTATGGGTGTGGTTCTTTCTAGTTAGAACATTTTAAATTCAGGTGATTGTTCAATATTCAGACCCAACAGAGCCATTTCCTTTCATTCTTGCCCATTTTTAAACAGTTCATGTGGGTTTCTTGTCTCTGCTTACTGTGTACCGTGATTTTTTTTCTCTTGAACCCATCACAAAAGTAAAATCAGGCTGCCTTCATGAAAGGTTAATTTTCTAAGGGTATTGCTGCTGTCACAAAAGGAAAGATGACCTGTGACACAGCAGTTCTCTTCTTAGCACGAGTTCCTTAGAAGAGTAAAACAGCCTGGTCTTGAATTGTTGAGGAACTTCAAAACAGATTTTCAGAAACTGGTAAATATTTGTTAAAGATTAAAAGCTTGAATATCATCTTCAAACTTCACAAATTATCAGGTGGTGAATGGCATCATTCATTCATCAAACATTCACTAAGAACTTACTTAGTGCCAGATAAACTTTTATTGGTGTGAATTTTTGAAATGGAGTGAAATGAGACAATGCTTCTTCCCTAGTATCTTCATTTTCTGTGGAGTGGGCAGGTAAACAAATTGGTGTTGTGAAGTGTGAGTTCTAAGACACAGGGATATACAGAGCACAGAGGCGGTGAAGGGATGGAATAAACCATTCCTGCCCAGTGTTTGGGTGTCAATGACCAGAGGAGGCTTCAGCAGTGTGTAAGAGTGCAGAAATAGGAGAATAAAGAACAGGCTTATCTGATTTAGTCCTGCAAGATGTCTCTTCATTTCCTCAGTCCTGATAGAACCCAATATTCAATATTCAGTAAACCTGGTTTTGTAAACTTTCCAGCCCAGACCCATTAAAGTCATCAGCGTTGCTCCTCAGACCCCTTTCCCCACCACCTCCCTTCACATTACAGCAAAGGCCTTGCCTCCCGAGGCAGACTTCCATCTCCCTTGGCCCTCTCCCCTCAACTAGTCCCCTACTGAGTTCTGCTCTTATCTTGATAATTTCTCATTTTTGGTTTCTCTATGCTCTAACTACATGTTCCCTGTTAAAGGTCTAATGCTCTTTTCCACACTGTTGTAGTAGCATTCTCTTTTTTCTTTTCTTTTAAAGATTTATTTATTTATTTGAAAGAGTTACAGAGAGAGAGAAGGAGAGGCAGAGAGAGAGAGAGAGAGATCTTCCATCCGCTGGTTCAGTCCCCAATTGGCCACAGCGGCCAGAGCTGTGCCAATCTGAAGCCAGGAGCTAGGAGCTTCTTCCAGGTCTCCCATGTGGTTGCAGGGACCCAAAGACTTGGGCCATCTTCCACTGTTTTCCCAGGCCATAGCAGAGAGATGATGGAAGTGAGTAGCAGACTCGACCTGATCCATATGGATGCAGCACTGCAGGTGGTGGCAGCTTTACCCGCCATGCCACAGCACTGGCCCCGCCTCTCTCTCTCTCTCTCTGTTATTATTTTATTTTCTGTTGTGTACCCGCAGCAAGAGTAAACTATTGGGACTGGTCCTGTGGTGTATTAGGTAAAAGCTACCACCTGTGATACTGGTATTCCCATATAGGTACTGGTTGTGTCCCAGCTGCTCCACTTCTGATCCAGCTCCTTGCTAATTGCTTCTGAAAAGCAGTGAAAAATGGCCCAAGCATGTGGGCCCCTTGCCACCCTCATGGGAGACCCAGATGAAGCTCCTGGCTTTGTCCTGGCCCAACCCTGGCCATTGCGGCCATCTGGGGGAGTGAAAGCAGATGGAAGATCTCTTTCTCTTCCTCTCTCAGTGACTCTTACTTTCAAATAAATAAATAAATATGTCTTTTAAAAAGGAGAGTAAGCTTTTTATAAAGTATAGACATGGTCAGAACACTTGTGTGCTTACAGTCTTTCAGTGGCCTCCATGGTTCGGAAATGATGCCCAAACTCCTTTATCTTGGCATTCAAGGACACATCTTCTCCTACTGTGCTTTTTTTTTTTTTTTTTTTTTTTTTTTTTTTTTTTTTTTTAAGATTTATTTATTTGAAAGAGTTACACAGAAAGAGAAGGAGAGGCAGAGAGAGAGAGAGGTCTTTCATCTGCTGGTTTACTCCCCAAAGGGCCACAATGGCTGGAGCTGTGCTGATCCGAAGCCAGAAGCCAAGAGCTTCTTCTGGGTCTCCCACGTGGGTGCAGGGGCCCAAGTACTTGGGCCATCTTCTACTGCTTTCTCAGGCCATAGCTGAGAGCTGGATGGGAAGTGGAACAGCCAGGACTCAAAGCGGCTTTACTCACTATGCCACAGTGCTGGCCCCTACTATGCCTCTTAATAGCCTCTCCTCCCACTACTGTTCACCCACACGTATGTTGGCTATAAAAGATTTCAGAGTACATAATTTTCATCTTTCTTTTTTCATCTGTACAACTATTTTCTTTTTTGATACATTTTAAACTCCACTATCCCCTTCACTGCCCACTCCTTCCAAATCCGCATTAATACTGTCTTCACCTTCCTAGAATCTTCAAGGCTCAGTCTGGCACTTGGCCAACTCAGAAGTGTCTTTCGACCCACCATAACACTTGTCACACATATAACAATGGTGTATGCATCTGTCTTTCAGATTAGGTTGTATCGTTCTAAAGGACAATAATAATACCATTTATTTCTCATCACCCAAAAATTAAAAAAAAAAACTGCTGGCTTATGGCAGGTACTCACAGATGTTTGCTGAATAGATGAATAAAATGAATGAATGAATGATATCCTATGATAGTTTGGAATTATATGCCACTTTGATTTACAGGATAGTAGTCTCCTAACCTGTAGGGTTTTGTGATGTATAGCATTAATGACTTTCTTTTTTACCTAAGTATTTTCTGCATCATAGATAAATCTGGTGAGTAAAGTCCAAGAACCATTTGAGCAAGTCATTTTTAGAGAACTTCAGAAATCATCTAACTCCATTTATGTGTGTACCTCTAAGGACAGATTTATTTCCTTTCAAATATGAATTTCTTTAAATTTTAGCATTGTTAGCATTTGCAATACACCATTTTATGCTCAGTTGATTGAATTTATGACTACATTTCCCACAATTAAGGTAAGTAACTTTCCATAATTAAACGATTGGATGGTCTTCTGTCTGCAGGTACAGATCAGCCATTTTTCGCTGTTGTGTGCAATAATGAGCTGGAGTAAAATTGTGTAGCTCAGAGTGAGGAGCTGGATCGCATGTCTTCCCACAGTTTGTAAGGAAATGTCTGCTATTTAAGGAGAAGGGTGGTGATGAGTCTTTGGAGCCCATTTCAAGAAAGCATAGAATGTTGAAAATCCAAACTTAACCAAATTCATTAGTGTGCAAGGCCAAAGCTGGAGATGCTGGGAAAATCCTAGGATGTACAGAATATAAAAAGGAACGAGAACTGAGTAGGCAGCTTCCTCAACAAAACTTTCTAGCCCCAGACCTAGAAGAGCCATGATTTAAACCCAAGTATGCTTTTCTGATTTTTTCCTGTAACACACTAAGTAAGGTACCTTGAAATGGTGCTGAGTTTGCTGAAGCTTATGCTGTTGGCTACCAAGCCTGCCCTGGAAAGCACTGAGTGACAGACATTGTAAACATCCTACACTCTCAGCTGTGGAATGTAAGAAAGCTGGGAGAAGGCTGTTTACTCTCTCTGCCTTGGAAATCAACTAATGAGGAACATGTTTGGAATATTGCTATGTGCCTTACAATTGGCCTATCTAGGATTCATTTATGAGGTCAACTCTAAATGTAAAACAAATAGACTGTTATACTAATAAATGTTAAATAATTTGTAATGTCATTTATCTTTAAACTGTCTCATGTGGTCTGTGTGTATGTGTAAAGATTACCAAATACCCAAGAAATGAAAGTGTGGTAACTGCCATGAACCTACATTGTGGGAGTTGTTGTAGCCTAGTTTATAAAAACAAAACATAAAAGCACATGCCCAATAAGCCAGATGATTCTCCGTTAACCTGAGTAGCATTACTGCACTAAGTTTTAACCTTTCTTGAGCAAAGGTTCTGATTTTTTGGGGCCAGCTATTATCAGGTTTTGGGTGGTTTGGAGCCCATGCTTTAGCATGGTAATGACAAGCAGCATGAATAAGGCATGCTATTTTAAAAAAGGATATAGTTGTACATTTCAAGGGAAGATAGAAGTATAGGGGGCAGAGATAGGATGAGATATAAGAAGATAATTTTAAGAAAAATCTACAAAAGTTAGGTTCAAACTTAACCAGAAAAACCATACTGTTTATTTCTTCCACATAAATCATTTAAATCAAATATTTATTGAAGATTTAATCTAGAGTTTGACTTACCCAAAATGAGTTTTGTTTTTTTCTACTCAAGTAAGCCTTCTTTTCAAAGAAAATACATAATAATGTGTATTCTTATACAGTAAGCCTTTAAGAGGTTAAAATAATACCTGTTTTAAATATTAAACAGATGTTGACACAGTTCCTTGCTTATTTAGTTTTAGAATATCAGCATATTCTGGTCACTTAAACTAAAAGGCACCGTAGTGCTTTAAAGTTTTAGACAAACTTCCTCTCTGTATGCGGAGTCTGAGACAATAGGAATGTTTGTTTCATGGGTCTAAAAACTGCATAAATGCAGTGCCTTCAGCTTATGATTTCAAGGGAGTATTGGAATGAGCTGCTGTTGTAACAGTGGCTGAAACTGTGGAAGTGCCTGCTGAGCTACTCCAGCTTGGTTGAGTCATTAACCTTTTTGGATTTGGCCTGCAGGCTTATGGAAGCACTCTTGGAGACAATGCTCTACCATCTTCTCAAAGAATTGTGGATGTTTGAAATGTTGCTTTCTTCCGGGAGATGGGGATTGTATGGTAAGGGCAAAAGCAGCTTGAAGTGGAAGGTTGGGAATGGCATATGTGCTTTCTCTGCCATAGCTTTTGAGTTATTCTACTTAAATTAGGATATTTCAGATCTAAATTGATATTAATTTATATTTATGAATGTAAGTATTTAGAAGCTTATTGAAATTTGAACTGAAAATCATTCCATCATTCAGTTTACTGAACACTCACCATGTGCCAGTTACTTGCATGGGGGATATGGAAGAGAACAGAAACACAATTCTTGCCCTGTGGAACTTATAAATTCATAATGTGTTAAGATATAACAATTTTTTTATTCTGTATAACTATATAAGATGCTTTATCATATTCAGTGGTATTAGATTGTTTTTTTCAAAACTAAATAAATTTAAATATTTTAAACACTTATTGTGTTGTTTTTGAAAATCTTCTAGATATTAAACCTTATAAAATTGTTAGTTTTTGTTTAGCATTATTCTTCCAGATATGAAATCAGTGTTACCCATTTTGTGATACAGGTAAGTATTAAGGATGCTTCACAGGTCACTGCTCTGTGTATGTGAATTGTATACATACATGTACCATATACATGCCAACGAACAGGTACTAAAATTGGTAAAATTTAAGACAATGGGTGCCAGCGCCGCCACTCACTAGGCTAATCCTCCGCCTAGCGGTGCCAGCACACCGGGTTCTAGTCCCGGTCGGGGCGCCGGATTCTGTCCCGTTTGCCCCTCTTCCAGGCCAGCTCTCTGCTGTGGCCAGGGAGTGCAGTGGAGGATGGCCCAAGTCCTTGGGCCCTGCACCCCATGGGAGACCAGGAGAAGTACCTGGTTCCTGCCATCAGATCAGCGTGGTGCGCCGGCCGCAGCAGCCATTGGAGGGTGAACCAACGGCAAAGGAAGACCTTTCTCTCTGTCTCTCACTGTCCACTCTGCCTGTCAAAAAAAAAAAAAAAAAACAAACAAACAAAAAAAACAAAAAACAATGGGGCTGGTGCTGTGGTGTAGCAGGTTAAGCCACTACTTGCAGTTCCAGCATCCCATATCCACACTGGTTTGAATCCTGGCTGCTCTACTTCTAATCCAGCTGCCTGCTACTGTGCCTGGAAAAGTGCTTGGGCCCCTGGACCCACATAGGAGACCCGAAAGAAGCTGTTGGCTTTGGGTCAGCCCAGCTGTGGCCATTGTGGCCAGTTGGGGAGTGAGCCAGCAGATGGAAGATCTCTCTCTTTCTGTCTCTCCCTTTCTTTCTGTCTCTGTAACTCTGCCTTTCAAACAATAAGTAAATAAATCTTAAAAGACAAAACAGTGTGACATTGGCAAGGATGTGTGGTAAGACTCCTTGTGAGACTGTAAGTTAATACCACCACTTCAGAAAATAACCTGGGGCCAGCACTATGGCCTACGGAGTAAAGCTGCCACCTGCAGTGCCAGATCCTATATGGGCGTCGGTTCGAGTCCCTGCTGCTTCACTTCCGATCCAGGTCTCTGCTATGGCCTGGGAAAGCAGTAGAAGATAGCCTAAGTGCTTGGGCCTCTGCACCTGCATGAGAGATCCGGAAGAAGCTCCTGGCTTCTGGCTTCGGATTGGCACTGCTCCACTGTCATGGCCATTTGGGAGTGAACCAGTAGATGGGAGACTTTTTCTCTCTGCCTCTGCCTCTCTGTAATTCTGTCTTTCAAATAAATAAATATTTAAAAAAATATTTGATGGTCTCTACTTATGCTGAACTTACTCATTCTCTATGTCCCAGTTGTTATTACCTACCCCACAGAAATTTGTACTATGTTCTCCTAAGAAATGGATATTCATAGGAACACTATTTTAATCAGAAACTACCGAAAGTGCTGATCAATAGTAGGATCCATAAATAAATTCCAGTATACTCATATAATAATACTATACAGCAATGAGAGTGAATGGCTTACAGCTGTTCATGAAATTATGAGTGAACATAAAGTACAAAATAAGCTGGACTAAAGAGAATATACCATATGTTTCTGTTTACATTTATTTGAACAACAGGCAGGCAAAACTTACCTGTAGTTGTGGTGATCGGAGTCAGGATATGGTTACCTTGAGGGGTGGGATTCCAAGGCTAGGAATAAGGGACAGGTCCTCTTGTCGTTGGTGATGTGTTAGTCCTTCCTCTGAGTAGTATACCAGTGAAACAGGTATCCCTTAATGAAAAGTCCTCGTGCTTTATTTGTGCATTTTTATAACTGGGAGTTGTACTTAACATTTTAAAATTTTATTTTATAAGCAGGGGGTAGAGTGTGGGAGAGAAAGAGATCCTATCAGCTGGTTCACTGTCAAATACCTTCCATGACGACCTGGGCCAGGGTTGGAGCCAGGAGCTGGAACATATATCAAGTTTCCAATGGGAGCAACAAACCCAACCCTGTGTTGGCAGGGAGCTAGAGTCAGCAGCTACAGCTGAGACTGAAACCCAGGCACTCTAGCATGGGACACAGGCCTATTTTTTTTTTGAAAGGCAGAGTTACAGAGGCAGAGAGAGAGAGGTCTTCCATCTGCTGGTTCACCACTAGATGCAATGGCCAGAGCTGCACCAATCAGGAGCCAGGAGCTGCTTCTGGGTCTCCTTCGTGGGTGCAGGGGACCAAGGACTTGGGCCATCTTCTACTGCTTTTCCAGGCCATCAGCAGGGAGCTGGATCAGAAGTGGAGCAGCCAGGACTTGAACCAGCACCCAAATGGCATGCTGGCACTGCATCGGCGGCTTTACTTGCATCACCACAGCGCTGGCCCCTAGGGACACCAGCATCTTTAGTGCTGGCCCCTAAGGACACAAGCATCTGAACTGCTCTGGTAAACACCAGTTCCTGGATGTTAACACTTTAATAAAAAATTTCAAAAATTTAATATTCGAAGAATAAAGCTGTATCACATGACCTAAAAAAAGACAGGTAAAACTAAGTAGTCACTAAAAGAAGTCACTGAAATAAGCTCCCAGGTCATTGTCCCCTCCAAACAGAGTAGGAACTCATGTCTTGAGGAGCATTCTCTGAAACTGGCACAAAAGATGGCACCATCCAAAATTCCCGTGGCAAAGTCACTTTGAAACGAGTATCTTCTTTCCTCAAGTTACTATCCTATTTCAAAGAACACCACTCTCCTCAAAAGCTCACCGTAGTGATCCAGTCCCTCATTTTCCAAGTAGCCAAATTACTGAAAGATGAGGAGAAAGAGCTGATGCTGAAAGCCATTTTCTTCATACTATTTGTTGAACTCTTTTACTAAGTGTAGAGTTAACTTTACAATCCTTAAGTAAACTGAAAGTAGATCTTCGTGAAAATTGAGAGTGGGAATGGGAGGGGGAGGAGGAAGAAGGGTTGGAGCATGGGGGAGGGAGGGTAGTGTGGGAAGTATCTAGTGATTAGATTAAATTAAATCTGTATATATGAAGTACATGAAACTTGTGTAACTTAAATTTAAAAAAATAAAACCATTTAACAGCTGTCACCTAACGTGTTGCAGGAAAGGAGGTCACACGTGGCTAACTGATTTGCCCAGTGGAACATAGGCCTCCAATGGCCATGGGAAGACTGAAGTGGGCATAGTGACTGCAGTGCCTCTCCATGTTTCCATAGCCAGGTATCCTAGAATTGGGCTAGAAAAATGTGATCCATCAACCACCACATCAAGCTTTCGAGCTAATAGGAATAAATCATACATTTGGCATTGTTAATCTACTTGGAATCATTATTGGGATTGAGTTTTCATCCTTTCTTTGAAAGAATGTTCTGTGGTTGTTAAGATCTGGCTTTTAAATTTTCTTTTTACAATGAGGTGAAAAGGCTCTTTTCTTCAAACCCTATCTTGAACTAAAAATCCTTTTTTAATTCAAACAAAAGTAAAAAAAAAAAATCTTCAACCCCCTCATGCTTCAAGTTACATATGCTAATAATAAGCTCCACTTACTGTTTCTTATCTGGGGACAATACAGCCCCACAGGGGTACTTGGAAATGTGTGCAGACATTTTTGATTGTCACCATAACTGAGGAGTGCCACTTCTGTGAGGCTTTGAGCTATCTGTTGAACAAGAAAAAGTTTTCACCAAAATAACAGTAGTGACTGCACCAACATGTATTCTTAAAGATATTTTACTTTTAGGAAAAATGAATTACCTACACTTTTTTTTTTCTTTTAAGATCGTTTATTTGAAAGGCTGAGTTAGAGGAGAGAGAGAGCAAGCGAGCTGTCCGCTGGTTTACTCCCTAAATGGCTGCAACTGCCAGGACTGGGCTAGGCTGAAGCCAGGAGCTTCCTCTGGGTCTCCCATATGGGTGCAGGGGCCCAAGCACTTAGGCCATTGACTGCTTTCCCGGAGCATTAGCAGGGAGCTGGATCAGAAGTGGAGCAGGCAGGACTTGAACTGAAACCCATATGGGATGCTGGTACTGCAGGTTGTGGCTATAACCTGCTAAGCCACAGCACCAGCCCCTATCCACATTGTCAAAATGTCTTTACTTTAACACATCACTGTAGTATACTGTCTGGAGGCTTGAGGTCTGAAATAGCTAAATGTGGTGATTTGAATGATCTTAAAAATACAACGAAAGAATAAAAATAGACTCCAAACAGACTAGAAAGATGTAACTTTAGAATGACTCCAAATATTCTGTAATGTTGAGCTCATCAAAGGTTTTGTCACCAAAAAGCCAAGTATATCCTTTAGAATGCTTCCTTTGTGGCTCAAAATGAAAAATACTGTTTGAACCTCCACAATGTGTGAGGTAAACCAGTTTATCCTGTAGTTTGGCACTGCTTATTGAGAATTTGACAACATCTAAGAATTCAGCATCTAACTCAGTCACTAGAAAACTGTAAATTGCTAGCTGTAGTTTAAAGCTTTCAACTAGGCTTAGATGCTCCTAAAACAAACAAAACAAAACGTCATTAAAACCACCTTTGAATTTTTTAAATAGTCTTAGTATTACTAGCCCAGCCATGTTCATGCAATGAAAAGGCCAAGTTTCTGCTTGCCTCTCTGTAGCTCTGATTGCATCTTGTTATAGTGTTGTCACTACAGCTGTGCTGGGTCATTCTTTCCCATCCCATTCCACAAATACGCACTTTGTACAGTCATAGCCTTGGAAGCAGTGGCAAACAAGGATGTGCCCACCCTCATGAAGCTTCTAGTTTTGTAGGGACTGCACTTGTTGCTTTTATTGCTTTTTTATTTTTATTTTTTATTTATTTGAAAGGCAGAGTTACAGAGAGAGAGGGAGAGACAGAGAAGATAGAAATATCTTCCATTCATTGGCTCACTCCCCAGATGGCCACAATGGCTGGCGCTGGGGCGGTCCAAAGCCAAGAGCCAGGAGCTTCTGGGTCTCCCACATGGGTACAGAGGGCCCAAGCATTTGGGCCATCTGCTGCTGCTTTCTGAGGTGCACTAGCAGGGAGCTGGATCGGAAGTAGAACTGGGTCTCAAACTGGCACCCATATGGGATACTGGGGCTTCAGGTGGCAGCTTTACCCACTATACCACAGCACCAGCCCCTACAGCTAAATTTTTGCTTCAGTGAGCCCTTATAAATTCTATGTAATCTATTGCAGGTCACTCAGTGGGGTCTTTCTTTCATAGGTATTCCATAAGTAAGGCTGGGCAGTAGCAAGCCTAACTCCTATGATAGCAATAGCATTCATCATGCTAACTACCACTTATTACTAAGGGTTCCATACATTCCAGAAGCCATGCCAAGAGCCAAGAGCAAATATTGAGGGTCCTTGCAATGTGCTGAGCACTAAAACTTTTGCTTATATTCATCCTTGTAATTAAATAACAGGCATGAAATTATTTTTCAGGTGAGGATTATGAGGTGAAAGAGAATAAGAAAACCACCTAAGGTTATGCCCTAATGCTGGGATTCCAAAGGTGGCAGTGTGGCACTAGAGATTTTCTTTTGATCCTGAAATGAACCAAGTATATCTAGTTAGAAATTATGATCCCAGTTTTCCCAAGGTGGAACCTGAAGTTGAAATTGTTAAGAAAATGTCAGTAGATGTGTTTACAAATATTCCATTTCTTCCAGTTCTCTGCTTCTTGCACATGAAAGCATTCCATCTTTCTGTGTCTTCTGAGGTCAGGTGTAGCTGTGTGCCTGCTTTCATTAAGTACCTATGGATAGATTTACCAGAAAGCTTTCAGAGCCTGTATACAATGTGTGCCCTTTCCCCTGTGTTGGTGAAACACCTGATGAGACGAAGTCTTTGTCCCCCTGTGTGCTGGAAGGACCATGTTGGATAGCATCCCTTCGCTGATTGCCATTAGACTGGAAGCAGTAAGCTCCTGAGATTTGGGACAGGGATAGGTGAAGGAGAGTGTTTGTAACCATACATAATCTAGCCTAAACTCAACATGTTGTTTGCCTAAGGAACCTGCCTAAACTCCTGTAACTTAATGGTATCACATATGTGTGTGGAATTCAGAAATCTGACACAACAGGTTGTGTTTTTTATTAACGTCTAGCTGGGTATTGCATGGCCTGTGGGAATAAAACAGTTCTTTGGCCTTTTAATTTTATGTTATAATGAAAGTACTTAAAGCATTCAATCTGATGGCCATGTAGTCCAACATTAAGAACATGTAGAAGAAAAGTTTCTTATTCTCTGGCCAGAGCACTATATCTGGAGCTTAATTTAATCTGCAGTGTTCTAGTATCCTTCCCTCCCCCCGCCAAGATTGATTGATTTATTTGAAGGGCAGTGAGAGAGATGGAGAGAGAGAGATCAACCACTGGTTCACTCCACAAATGACCGCAAGAGCCGGGGGCTGGGCCAAGCCAAAGCCAGGAGCCAGGAACTCCATTCAGGTCTCCCACATGGGTGGCAGGGGCACAAGCACTTGGGCCGTCTTCTGCCACCTTCCCAGTTACACCAGCAGGGAGCTAGATGTGAAGCATCCCCAACTTGGACCGTGCTCCAGGATGGTATGCTGGCATTGCAAGCAGCAGCTTAACCGCCTGCATCACAATGCCAGCCCACTAATTTTGTTAATTCTGAGATTTGTGTTCCAGCAACAGATGGTCAGCAATGTTAGTGAAGAATGCTAATTTCTCCATTGCTACTAAACTTTATGACTGCAATTAATGGTTTTTAGGGTGTGAACAGTTTTATATACTTCACCCTTCTTTAGGTTAAGATCATAGTCAAACACTCTGACTCAGGTCAGACATTTGGCTTAGAATTTATGCTGCTAGTTAGAATATCCAAGTCTTGTATGAGTGCCTGGGTTTAACCCCCACCCACAGCTCCTGATCCCAGCTTCCTGCTAATGCTGACCCTGGGAGGTAGCAAAGATGACTGAAGAAGTTGAGTTCCTGCCAACCCTATGGGAGGCCTAAACGGAATTGCTGGCTTTTGGCTTAAGCCTCTGTCTATGGCTGGCATTTGGGGGGTGAACCAGTGAATGGAAACTAGCTTTCTCAATGTCTTACCTCTCAAATAAATACATTTTTATTTTTTTGAAGAAAATCACTTTATTCTACTCATAAACAGTAACATTACAACAGTTTTTTCAAGGAGACCACACATCTGTCCAGCCCCAAATTCAATACCGTCTCAAGGAATACCATCCTCTCAGCAAGGATGCCCTTTTCCATTGCATTGCTGGACCAACGAAGCTCTTCAAAATAGATGACAGTCAAATAAATAAAATTTTAAAAAGAAATACTCAGGGGCCAGTGTTGTGGTTTGTTTCAGTCCTGGCTGTTCCACTTCCAGTCCAGCTTCTTGCTGATGTGCCGGAGAAGGCAGCCAAAGACGGCCCAGGTACTGGGGCCCCTGTCACCCACGTGGGAGAGTCAGATGGTGTTCAGGCTCCCAGCTTCCATCTGGGCTAGTCTCAGTCATTGCAACCATTTGTTGGAGTGAACCATCAGATAGAGAATCTCTGTCTTTCCCTCTGTCACTCTGCCTTTCAAATAAATAAGCCTTTTCAAACTTTTTTTTAAAGATTTATTTTATTTATTTGTAAGACAGAGTGACAGAGAGAGGTGGAGACAGAGTGGTCTTCCATCCGCTGGTTCACTCCCCGGATGGCTGCAAAGGCCGGAGCTGAGCTGATCCGAAGCTGGGAACCAGGAGCTTCTTCTGGGTCTCCCACGTGGGTGCAGGGTCCCAAGGACTTGGGCCATCTTCTACTGCTTTCCCAGTCCATAGCAGAGAGCTGGATCGGAAGAGAAGCAGCTGGGACTAGAACTGGTGCCAATATGGGATGCCAGCACTTCAGGCCAGGGCTTTAACCCACTGCGCCACAGCACCGGCCCCAAGCCTTTTTTAAAAAATAAGAAACACTGTAAAATAGTTCCAGCACATGTATACACACACACAGTGTTAAGTTATTCAAGTCCTCATGTTGAATTCAGAATTGTGAGAATTTCCAAAGCCATTAGCTGAGTACATTCAACAATTTGGCAGTATAGCACTGTCTACCAAGGCAATGCATAACACAGAGCCACATTAAATTTTGAACATCTTTCCTGAGCATGATCTTCCTGAAATTTCAATGGATGAAAGACTATGCAAACCCTACCCTTTGCATTATTTGATTATTTAATGACTTATGTCATTACTCATGTACCATAGGAGAAAAAAGAGCAGGCAATAGCTCCTTAACTAGCAGAATTTTATGGTTTTTATTTGTTTCTAAATAAAGTCATGAAATTTGACACTGATTAACTCTGTAAGGTTACTTTAGTTGCTTAATCACAAAATTCCTAATCCTTCATTCAATAACTTAAAAATTCTTCTAAAATTGTTCATAATCCTGCCTAATTCCAGTGATAACTAGAGGCAACTGCTGTGTATATCTTTTTTAAAGATTTATTTATTTATTTGAAAGAACTACAGAGAGGCAGATGCAGAGAGAGAGAGAGAGAGAGAGAGAGAGAGGTCTTCCTCCACTGGTTCACTCCCCTGATGGCCACATCAGCCAGAGCTGTGCCAATCCGAAGCCAGGAGCCAGGAGCTTCTTCTGGGTCTCCCACAGGCATGCAGGGGCCCAAGGACCTGGGCCATCCTCCACTGCTTTCCCAGGCCATTGCAGAGAGCTGGATCAGAAGTGGAGCAGCCAGGACTAGAACTGGCGCCCATATGGGATGCCGGCACTGCAGGCAATGGCTTCACCCGCTACGCCACAGTGCTGGCCTGGCCATGTATATCTTCAACGTTGGAAAATACTTGTTCAGTAATACTGAGCTAACATTTCTGGGATGATCTATACAATGAATACATCATATATGTTGGGTTTAATTTTTGTTTTGAAACATTATAGATGTATAGGATGTTGCAAAAATATATTGGAGAGTTCCTTTCACATGATTTTCCCCAGTGGTTGGTTACAGCTTACAAAGTTAGAGTCACAGTACCAAAACCAGGAAACTGGCATTGGTATAATGTGTGTGTGGTTCTACACTATTAGCTTATAGACTTCTGCAGTCACTGCTGCAGTTAATATACAGACTGTTGCATTGCCACAAAGATCTGTCTATCCCTCTGGTCACACACCCTTCTTCAGCCCTCAGCTTCCTTCTGCTATCCCTAATTGCTGGCAACCACCAACCCATTCATCTTTATGATTTTCTTCATTTCAAGAATACTCTATAAAAAGTATTTTAATAGATGAATTTTCAGTTGTTTTCCATGTTTTAATTAGAAGTTCAAACACAAAATCTTATAGATGTAAAACATACCAAGATTATGCTTATTAAATGGTGATTAATTTATAATTTTATCTTGCAATATTTCAATCATCTTTTTTTGCAATTAAACACATATTAAACTTTTCTACATTGTAGAAGATGAAGACTTTCTTAACTTGAACAGCACCAGCATTTTCTGTTGGTAAGCAACTAGCAAATAAAGCTTAGATGAAAATTACACAGCTCCAAAGAAATGTGGTTCTTCCAGTAGGCCCTGTGTTTGATCTAAGTCCCAAGTAATTACAGTAAGCCCTTTGGTTCTGCTGCTGTTCTGAGAATGAGGATTTGATACAAATCCAAATAGTACAAGTTTTCATTTTAAAAAATTGATAATCCATTTGGAACAATATGGTTATCCACTATTTTGAGCTTACTTGGATGTATATATTATGTAGGATAATTTTACAGAGACAAATTCCTATAAATATATTCACTGCTATCTTAATTAGAAATAATTTATGGCTCTCCATAAGTGACAAGTCTTTCATGTTGAGTGAATAAACCAGTGATTAGGTCACGAGACTATTGTTAGGAACATGTAGGCAGACAGCTGACAAATGAATTGTTATCTTGCCTAAGGAGGAGAAAAAAACACTAAGGTAAAATTAAAATGCCAATACAAGCTGATAGAAGACATGTAACATTTTGTGCACTGATGATACTCAAATTAAACAATGGAATGTACTAATAAGTATACTGTAGATTTTATTTAAAAAATGGATTAGAGGGGCCGGCACCCTGGCTCACTTGGTTAATCCTCCACCTGCAGTGCCGGCATCCCATATGGGCGCCGGGTTCTAGTCCCGGTTGCTCCTCTTCCAGTCTAGCTCTTTGCTGTGGCCCGGGGGTGCAGTGGAGGATGGCCCAAGTCCTTGGGCCCTGCACCTGTATGGGAGACCAGGAGGAAGCACCTGGCTCCTGGCTTCGGATCGGCACAGCGTGCTGGCCATAGTGGCCATTTGAGGGGTGAACCAATGGAAGGAAGATCTTTCTCTCTCTCTCTCTCTCACTATCTAACTCTGCCTGTTTAAAAAAAAAAATGGATTAGAGCAGGGGGTAGAAAGACAGGAAAAGAATCTAGGCTTGATCCACTGAAACTATTGAACTATTTATATTAAATCAGACCCCTAGAAAAGGCTAAACTTTATGAAGCTCAAATGTTTAGCTATATTTTCAAATGTGCATTAATAAATACTGAATGGCTATATAAGATGAATTATATTTTACCCAATAGCTTGTCACATATCTTAAGCACTGCCATAAGAATCATCCATTTAGAGGGAGGATTTGAGTGACAAGCAACACACCTCTGTTTTCTGTCCTGTTCTACACTACATTTTTATTTTCAGTAATATAAAGATATTGTTGGAGTTAGGATTTTTAAAATGAAGCAAGATAGAGAATTAACAGTAGATGAATCAAAGTCCAGGTAAAATTTCAGGATAGAAGGATGGGCAGGGATAGATATAATGACATTGAATTGGTGTAAATGTTCAAGTCCAGCCTTTGGAAAAGGACTTCACAGAGGATGTGTTACTTGGGCCCATCACATGTAGAAAAAGACTTAGGACTTTTCCTAACTTCAACCTGTGTGGCCCAGGGAATGACTTGATGGTTCAAAAAACCTAACACAATCTAAAAATACATGTGTATGTATAATTATATAATTTTCAGAGCAGCACAACAAATTGTCCTACTGTATTTTATGTTGGTCAGATTTTTTTTTAAGATTTATTTATTTATTTTAAAGAGTTACAGAGTGGAGAGACAGAGATATTTCTTCCATCTGCTGGTTCACTCTCCAAATGGCCACATGGCCAGGGCTGTGTCAGGCTGAAGCCTGGAGCCAGGAGCTTTTTCTGAGTCTCCCACATGGGTTCAGGGGCCCAAGGAGTTGGGCCATCTTCCGCTGCTTTCCCAGGTGCATTAGCAAGGAGCTGAATCAGAAGCAGAGCAGCCAGGACTGGAACTGGCACTGTATGGGATGCTGGTACTGTATACTGCAGCTTAACCTGCTGTGCCACAGTGCTGGCTCTTTTATTGGTTAGATTTTTATGTAGTTCTGTGTCAATTACTGTACAATAGAGATAGAAGTAAGGTGTCTAAATTTGATGAAGAGAATTAAACATGTATATTGAAAACTGGAGTATGGTATGGCTTGTCTTTGAAGATCATGCTGAAATTTAATCCTCATGAATGTGGAGGGTAGAAACTTAATACAGTCTCTGTGTTTAAGGGTGGGATCTTTGAGAGCTGATTCGGATCAGAGTGGAGCCCCCATGTGCCGTCTCTGTTGCTCACCATATGATGCCCTGAGCCACCTTAGGACTCTGCCAGCCAGAATGTATCACTAGATGCAGCCATTGCCTCCGTACCTGAACCATAAGCCAAAGTAAACCTCTTTTCTTTATAACTTACCCAGTTTGTGGTATTATGTTGCCAACATCAGAAAATGAACAAAGAAAATTAGTACTGAATTGTTGGCTTTTGTGAATACTGAATACCTAAAAATGTGGAGGTTGTTTTGGAACTGGATAATTCTGAGGGCTCAGAAGTTCCAAGACTATGGAAGAACTAGAACATCTTAGAGATGGGATTGATGGTCATGAACAGACAGCTGATGCAAACGAGGACTCTTCTACTGGAAACTGGAGGAAAGACCGTCCCATCACACCTCTGCAAAGAGCTTAGCTGACTGTGCCCATGCCCTAGAGAATTATGGAAGGCCAAATTAAAAGGGATGGCTGTTAGAGGAAATATCCAAACAACAAAGCATTCAGACTGCTGCTTAGTTACTTCTAACTCGTGCAGTAGGATTGGGGAGCAATGGCATGACCTAAAAGCAGGATGCAGAATTGAAAGGGAAGCAGAGTAGAAAGATTTGAAAAACTTGTATCCTAGTGAAAAAGTGTGTTCAGGAGAACCAAATAAGGATGCAGCCCAGCAACCACTTAGTAAGGAAATGAGCACGGATAAAAGGGAGCCAGCTGGTGGTCACCAAGACAATGGGGAAAAGGCCTCAAGCACATCTCAGAAATCATTGAGGTTTCCCTCTCATCGCAAGCCCGGAAGTCTGGAAGGGAAGAATTTTTAGGGAACCCTGGAGTGCTCCTCAAGGGGCTCACTGCCCAGAGCTGCCTGAGGATTCTGCTCCCAGCTTTGTGATGAAGCACTCTGTGGCTGCTCCAGCAGTCATGCTCCAGCAAGTGCGGCTGGGTGCAGCTTATGCCACTGACTCAAAGGGAACCCAGTGCTAGCCCTTGGTACTGAATGCAGGTGAACAGAAAGCAAAATCTGCCGGATCTGGGAAGCTTCTGCTGAGATTTTGAAGACAAGGCTGACTCAGGGAAGGAATCATTGCAGAGATTCTACACTGGAAAGCCTACTAGAGCCATGGGAGTGAGACCAGTGCTGTTGAGATCCCGGGAAGGTAGAGTCGCTGACAGCGTGCAATGCCAGACTGGAAAAGCCACAGATACAGGCAACCTGGGAGAGCAGCTATCTGGGCTGTGAGCAGCAGAGCCTTGGAGACAAGGCTGCCTCTGGCCGTGGGGGCCCACCTCCTGCTACAGTGTACCTAAGGTTCTGGATCTAGAGCTTAAGATTTAACGTCTGCCCTGCTGGATTTCTGCCTCGCTTGGACATTTTATTCCTTTTACTTCTCCCTTTTGGAATAGGAATGTTTGTTCTATCCCTGCCTTACCATTGCATCATAGAAACAGATAACTTTTCTGATTTTCCAGACTCACTGCTAGAAGGAGTTTGCCTTGAATCTGACATGAGACTTTGGACTTGAGGCTTTCAGTTGGTGCTGGAATGTGTTAAGACTTTGGAACTATCTGGATGGAATGCTTGTATTTTGTATATGAGAAGGACATGAGTTTCAGGGTACCAGGAGCAGAATACTATGGTTTAAATATGATTTGCCCCGCTCTGAAATTCATGTTCAAACTTAATCCTCATTGTGAGGTATTAAGAGCATGGACACTTAATCCCACTGTGGTGGTCTGAGTTGGGGCTTTCGAGAGCTGAATAATTAGGATTAGGTAAGAGCACCAGGGTTCAGCCCCCATGATTAAATCCTGGTGGCTATAAGAAGAGGGAGACAGACCTTTCACACATGCATGCCCTGTCTCTTGCCATGTGATACCCTGCACCATCTTGGGATTAGACTGTCACCAAATGTGGCTCCTGGATCTTGTTCCAGACCATGAACAAAAAATAAACCTTTCTTTCTTTATGATATACCCAGTTCATGTATCACATTAGCAACAGAAATGAAGTAAGATGGATTGCATTACTTTCTTCGAATAATGAAAGACTAGAGCAAGGATAATGGCTTAGACTTGAACATTGCCTCTACCTCAAAGTGTGTAACTTGGAGCAGAGTCAAAGATATACAGAAGGAGAATTCAACACAAAATAAGCAGGACCTCTTTAGCCATATTTGGAGATCCAAAGATCAAACAGACTTATTTCTAGGTAATGAGTACCACATCACTGGAGATACTCAACCAAGGTATGTGTCACAGCTACTATCTATGCAATGCAAATGCTACATTTCCTTCAGTCCTGACATGTTACTAAATGGGTATTACAAACCTCAGGTTTACAACATTTACCAACTTTGGGAATCACCTTCTGTGGGCCTGTTTCCTCCTGTTCAATAGACTGTGGGGTGATGCTAACTTAGAAAGCTGTTGGAAATATTAAATGAGGTTGAAGAACAATAGCAGTAGCCTGATTCCAAATCCCCCCCTCATATTCCCAAAGCAACCATAGATCCACCTTGAGAACAAAACTATCCAGGACCTATTATGTAAGTATTACTAGACAGAAAACTTGAAACTTTCAAGCCATTTATAAGGAAAAAAAAAGAAACTCAAACAAAGCTTCCGGTATCTACATATTTTGCATGTGGAAGGGTGCTGGAGAAACAGAAATGACTCCTAGAACCAGAGCAGAGTGGGGCAGAGGACTTAGAGTAAGTGGGGATGACATCACCTCCAGTAGGAGGAAGTCAGATAGTTCACACGAACCTATCAAATTCAAGTTGAGATTGGGTCATTCATAGCCCTGGCTACAGGGAAAGGACTTGAAAGTGTGCTGGACTGAAGTGGCAGCTCTTTAGAAGCAGTGATTCTAGGCGGGGAGGGGATGAGAGAGACTAAGCTGTACCAGATGGATACTGAGTGATGAAGGGAAAGAAAGGAAGAAAGCAAAGGAGAAAGTGAAGAGCCTGCTGAGCGGCTGGTGCTGTGACGTAGTAGGTTAAGCCTCCGCCTGCAATACCGGCATCCCATGTGGGTGCTGGTTCCTCTCCCTGCTGCTAGTTTTCCCATCCAGCTCTCTGCTTTGGACCAGGAAAGCAGCAGAAGATGGCCCAAGTGCTTGGGCCCCTGCAATCACATGGAAGAATCTCCTGGCTCTTGGCTTCAGATCAGTCCAGCTCCTGCCTTTGCAACCATTTGGGGAGTGAACCAGCAGATGAAAGATATTTCTGTCTGTCTTTCTCTCTGAATAACTCTACCTCTCATATAAATAAACAAAATCTTAAAAAAAAGAACCTGCTGAATAAAATTAGTTGATTGTGTCAATGTCAATTTCATGTTTGTGATATTGTACTGTAGGATTGGAAGATGCTACCCTTAAGAGATCTGTGGAATCTCTAGTTCTTACAATTTCACGTGAGTCATAAATTATCTCAAAGTTTAAAAATTTATATAAAAATGAAGTAGGATTGTTGATTCCATTTTCATGAAGATCAAAACCCAACAAAATTAAACTTGTTTAGAAATATACAACTAAAGAAAATTTATTGCAATAAAGCTCAATTTAATGGTTTCCTCTACAATGGGAGGAAGAGTCACAGTGAAGAAGTGGTGTGTGTGTGTGTGTGTGTGTGTGTGATGCACCTGACATTTGTGGTGGTTATATTTTGTTTACTTTAAAATAATTCATCAAACTGTCATTTAAGTTTTTAAAACTTTACAGGAAGAGGTGCTGACCTACAGGCCATAGTTTGTTGACCCCTCTTCTAGAACACAAAGAAAACTTCATAGTAGGTTCCATAAAGTAGATGTGTTACCAAAAAACAAACCAACAACAAAACAGACTTGACTACAATGTAGTAAAACTGAAAATTAAAAAATAAACCAAAAAATGAAGAATCCTCCACCAGGAAATTAAAAGATGTTGTATTAATTTCCAAGTTAAAAAGTAATAAATAAAATTACTGAATTGCTGAAAAGTAACATTATATATGAGAAGTCATGGGATATATTTAAAGGAAAGCATATGTAACTACATCTATAGCAATAAAGCATGAATAAAGATAAATGAATTAGTTTTGCAACTCAAAATACTAAATAAGGTACAAGTAAATAAAGTACAAGGTAGGAATTATTTATAGTGGAAATTATAATGAAGTTGAGAATAGGGAAGCACTGGGTCAAATTGATCAAAATTCTAATTCTTCAGAAAATAAACAAAAATAGACAAACCACTAGATAATAAAGGGAGAAGAAAACACCAATGTACAAAATAAGAAATTACCTAGAAATAGTTATGATAGAAAAGGAATTTTTAAAAGTAATAAACAACTTTTGCATAATTTCTGCAAACAAGTTGGACATATAATTTCTTAGATAACTATTCCATAATAAAACTGTTCTCAGTAGATAAAGCTTAAATTTTTATAGAAATAGAAAATGTTTTCTAGCTATGCTACATGATAGCACCAGGCCCAGGTGATCACACAAGAGAAATTTACCAAACCTGTAGATATCAGACAATCCCAATGCTACATAAATTATCTCAGACTAAAATCAAGAATAATGTTCATCTTATGAAGCAAGCATAATACTGGTATCCAAACCTGATAAAGTCAGTATAAAAATTATTTAATGAAGTACTAGAAAACAGACTATGACAACACATTAAAAAAAGAGATGAGGGGCCTGAGCTAAGGCACAGTGGTAAAAGCGGTCACCTGCAGTGCCTATATCACATATGGGCACCGGTTTGAGTCCCGGTTGCTCCATTTCCGATCCAGCTCTCTGCTGTGGCCTGGGACAGCAGTAGAAAATGGCCCAAGCCCTTGGGCCCCTTCACCCGCATGGGAGACCTGGGAGAAGCTCCAGGCTCCTGGCTTTGGATCAGCGCAGCTCTGGCTGTTGCAGTCAACTGGGGAGTGAACCAGCAAATGGAAGACCTCTCTCTCTCTTTGCCTATCCTCAAATAAATAAATAAATCTTTTTTTAAAGATTTAAATCTTTTTTTTAAAGATTTATTTATTTGAAAGACAGAGTTACAGAGAGAGGTAGAGACAGAGAGAGAGGTCTTCCATCCACTGGCTCACTCCCCAGATGTCCACAACGGCTGGAGCAGTGCCAATCCAAAGCCAGGAGCCAGGAGTTTCCTCCAGGTCTCCCACGTGTGTGCAGGGGCCCAAGGACTTGGGCCATCTTCTATTGCTTTCCCAGGCCATACCAGAGAGCTGGATTGGAAGAGGAGCAGCAGGGACTAGAACCAGCGCCCATATGGGATGCCGGTGCTTCAGGACAGGGCTTTAACCTGCTGTACCACAGTGCTGGCCCTAAATAAATCTTTTTTTTTTTTTAAAGAAAAGAGATGATGAATTTTTAAAAAATTAATATAATCTACTATTTTAGGCCAGCACCATGGCTCAATAGGCTAATCCTCCGCCTGTGGCGCCAGCACACCAGGTTCTAGTCCCGGTCGGGGCGCCAGATTCTGTCCCGGTTGCCCCTCTTCCAGGCTAGCTCTCTGCTGTGGCCAGGGAGTGCAGTGGAGGATGGCCCAAGTGCTTGGGCCCTGCACCCCATGGGAGACCAGGAGAAGCACCTGGCTCCTGCCTTCGGATCAGCGCGGTGCGCCGGCCGCAGCGCGCCAGCCACGGCAGCCATTGGAGGGTGAACCAACGGCAAAAGGAAGACCTTTCTCTCTCACTGTCCACTCTGCCTGTCAAAAAAAATTAATATAATCTACTATTTTATAAGTCTATGATATGATTTCATTCATAGACACTGAAAATTGGTTTTGGCAAAATTTGACACTCATTTTTAGTAAAAAGTTTTGGAAAATAGTGCTGATAGCTATTTCTGTACTTAGGAAACAGATCACTAGAGGTCTTCCCACTGAGGTCAGTAAGTATGTTTAGAATGCTCACTGTTTACTGGTTTCTGGCATTGTCTGAAGGTAACAGTGTAATTAGACTAGAGAAAACCAAAGGTACAGTAGTAGAATAAGAAATATGTCTATTATTTGCAGATGGCATGATAGTATACATGGAAAACCCTAGAGAATCAATGATACAATATAGTCAAACAGACAAAAACCCAGTAAGGTAGCAAAATATAAAATTAATATGTAAAAATCAATAGCACTGGGGGCTAGCATTGTGGCACAGCGAGCTGAGTCATGGCCTGTGACACCACGCTCCCAAATGAGCACCATTTCGAGGCCTGGCTGCTCCACTTCACATCTGACTCCATGCTAATGCCCCTTGAGAAGGGATCAGAAGATGGCTGGAATGAGTGGGCACCTGCCACCCATGTGTGTGACCTGGATGGAGTTTCTGGCTGCTGGCCACAGCCCCAGCTGCAGCAACCATTTGGGGAGTGAACCAGTGATGGAAGATTTTCTCTCTTTCTCTCTCTCCCTCCACCCCTCCCTCCCTCCCTATATCTCTGTCTCTCGTCTTTCCCTTTCTCACTGTCTCTCCCTCTCTGTCTCTGAACACTGCCTTTCAAATATATAAACAAATCTTTTTATAAAAAAAGATAAAATATTTAAGAACACACTTCACAAGAAATGCTCAGAACCTAAATGGAGAAAACTATAAAATGCTTCTATAAGATAAAAGTGGACATGAAAACTTGGAGAATCATCTTTTATTCTTTATAGTACCTTTCAATATCAAGATGTCAGTTCTCCCTAAGTTAATTTACACATATAATCTGAACCCAAAACAAATTCCAATGGGATTTTTTTTATTGAGCTAGATAAGTGATTCTAAATTTCATATGCAAATTGAACATACTCTAGAGTCAAAGGCACTGGGGGGCAGAGGAGGGATGAGGTGGAGGTGGAAATCAGATTCAAAGCATGCAGATGGCTTGAACTGCCAGGGCTGTTTTTGAAGACAGAGAGAGGGGGTCACTAGTCAAGCAGTGACAGCAGATTCTAGAAGCTGGGAACAACCCCAGCTTATGGTCAGCAAGGAAATGAGGCTCTCAGTCCCACAACACATGCACCTGAATTCTACCAGCAGTCGCTAAGATGATAGAAGTTGATTCATCCACAGAGCCTCCAAAAAGGAATGCAGTACTTAACCCACCTGAGCTGTACCCTTGTGAAATCAGAGCAGAAAGCCTGCCATCTGATTATGAATCCAATCTCAGAATCATACAAGTTTCATATGAGGATCAATATGAAGAAAACTACCAATTCTTCTGAAACTATGAACTCATGTTAGAAACATGAAATGAAAATACAGAACATTGTTATGACTTTGAGTTAACAAGATTTGCTTAAAGTCTCCTAAGACAGTAACTTTTGGCTAGGCATTTGGTGCAGTGGTTAAAACAACACCAACCAGAAAAGCAAATAATAAGTTGTGTTACAATAATATAAAGAAATTTTGTTCATCAAAAGATAACATTAAGGGGGCAGTGGGTTAGGCAGCCACATGGAACACTAGCATTCCTGTCAGAGTCCTGGGATCAAGTCCCATCTCCACCTCTGATATTGCTTCCTGCTAATACACTTGGGAGGAAGAAGGTGCTGGGTCAAGAATTTGGGTCCCTGCCACTGATGTAAGAGATCCAGATGGAGCTCCTGGCTCTTGGCTTCAGCCTAACCCTTCTCTGGCTGTTGTAGACATTTGGAGAGTGAACCAATAGATGGAAGATCTCTCTCTCTCTCTCTCTCTCTCTGCCATTCTGCCTTTCAAAAAGGTAAATAAAACTTTTTTGAAAAGAGTCGCTTTTGAAAAAGACCTTACAAAGCAAAATATGCCAAACGGAGTATGAAAACAAATAATTTGGGTAAATATCTGCAAATTTATGACACAGGATAAAAAATTGTGGCATGTATTCTTACATCATTAAAACAAGAGTTTAATAGAAAAATGAGTAAATACATAAAATTCACAAAAGAAGGCTTTGAATATCTAGTACAATACTTAGAAGTTTTAACACCAAGAATAATCATAAAAGCTTCTAAAATGAAAGTTTTGAGCACTGAAACCAATTACTTTCTGTTTGAAAAGTTAAGCCCTCATGAAATGGTCTGTTGGCTTGTCATACCACATAAAATTGAGAATCTAAGTTGCTGTGGTATATCTTTTGAGCTGCATTTTTTAAAGCTTTGAACTGTGTAAATGGAGTATAAAATTCTATTGATCAATTATTCTGTGTAGTTACACTTGAGATTATAAAATGTCCAAGATTAATGAGAAAATGGCACTGGTTTTGATGAAACTTTATGGGAGATACATTTAATATGCTAATTTATTCCAGAAAAAATGTATAATGTACCATGATAAGCATACATTCTATGAGACATTGTGGACCTTCTTGGGTCACTGGTGTCATCAGATACAATTTATTTTAAGATCTGTGTATTTATTTATTCACTTGAAAGGCAGAGTGGTAGAGACAGGGTGAAAGACAGATCTTTCGTCCACTACTTCACTACCCAGTTGGCCCAATGGCTGGGGCTGGGCCTGGTCAAAGTCAGGAACGAGAAGTCCTTCCAGGTCTCTGACATAGGTGATAGGGGCTCAAGTACTTAGACCATCTTCCACTGCTTTCGTAGATACATTAGCAAGGAGCTGTGTTGAAAGCAGAGCAGCTGAGAATGCACCTGGCACTTCAAATGGGATGCTCGCATTGCAAGTGGCACGGCTGACCCCGTGGCACCCACTGCCAGCTGCCAGGTAGGATTTTTTGAATCAGATTTGAAGTAGGCGAAACTGGCCTTAGCTTCGCTTTCCGTGATTTAACCAGGTGAGAATCGCCATGATAGAATCCTGGTGGGTCGTGTCAATTAGCCTTCTGTAGGGGTACTGTAGTATAGACACAATCCCAAGGCAGAAATAATAGATTACAGTCTTCTTGAGTTAGGGTTTTTTTTTGTTTGTTTGTTTGTTTGTTTTTTGACAGGCAGAGTGGACAGTGAGAGAGAGAGACAGAGAGAAAGGTCTTCCTTTGCCGTTGGTTCACCCTCCAATGGCCGCCGCGGCCGGCGCTGATCCCATGGCAGGAGCCAGGTACTTATCCTGGTCTCCCATGGGGTGCAGGGCCCAAGCACTTGGGCCATCCTCCACTGCACTCCCTGGCCACAGCAGAGAGCTGGCCTGGAAGAGGGGCAACCGGGACAGAATCCGGTGCCCCGACCGGGACTAGAACCTGGTGTGCGGCGCTGCAAGGCGGAGGATTAGCCTAGTGAGCTGCAGTTTTAGGGCCATAAATGGATACAATTTACAGTTCATTTAATCAAAAGAGTGATGAGGTAAAAGGTCATTTTCAGCTGTGACTTCCATGTCTATAGGCAGATGCTATCAAAACATGATAGTGGCAAAGTTGTCCTTCTTTGGTGGGTAGCAGTGAGGGGGTTGAGGATACTGATATGAGAGATGAAGAATAAGAGCAGGAAGATATTAGGGATAACACAAAATAAGTTAATGTTTTTCAAGATTACTAAACTGAAAAAATTTGTTGCTATACTCAACTTGGATAGAGATTAAACAAATCATTTTTCACAGTCAGGAATAAAATGGTTACCAACCCCCCATGTTTATAAAAGCAGCTCCCATAATCCAGGTTTCATATTTAATAGTGATGATGCTGAGAAATCCATCTTTGCATTGATTAAAAAGTAGTTTTACAGGGGCTGGCACTGTGGCGTAGTGGGTAAAAACATCACTTGCAATGCCAGCATCCCATATGGGCACTGGTTCACGTCTCAGCTGCTCCATTGCCAATCCAGCAATGGCCTGGGAAAGCAGTAGAAGATGGCCCAAGTCCTTGGGCACCTGCACCCACGTGGGAAGCCCAGAAAAAGCTCCTGGGCACTTGCACCCACGTGGGAGACCCAGAAGAAGCTCCTGGCTCCTGGCTTGGATTGGCACAGCTCTGGCTGTTTTGGCCAGTTGGAGAGTGAACCAGCAGATGGAAGACTTGCCTCTCTCTCTCTCTCTCTCTCCCTCCCTCCCTCCCTCTCTCCCTCCCTCTCTGTCTCTTCCTCTCAATT